TGGCCACAGTCTGCATCTGCAGTAATCTTTGCGCCTAGAAATACAAAGTCTGTCACGGCCTCCACATTTTTTTTGTAAATAGTTGAAAAAAAAAACCTTGGATAATATCTAAACCTTGGAAAATATCTTTTTTTCTTTGTAAATAGTTGAAAAAAAGATATTTTCCAAGGTTTAGTAAACTCTGATAAGAGGAATCCTGAAATGAAGAGAATCTTTGGCATTCAGAACTTATTATGTGCAAAATTCACATGTACTGTAGAGTCTCACTTATCCAACATAAATGGGCTGGCAGAACGTTGCATAAGCAAAAATGTTGGATAATAAGGAAGGATTAAGGAAAAGCCTATTAAACATCAAAGTACATTATGATTTTATAAATTAAGCACCAAAACATTATGCTTTACAACAAATCGACAGAAAAAGCAGTTCAATACACGGTAACGTTATGTAATAATTACTGTATTTATTAATTTAGCACCAAAACATCGCTATGTATTGAAACAGCTGTGGATCTGGGTGGGAGGTAGAGTGTTTTGGATAATCCAGAATGTTGGATAAGTGAAATTTGGATAAGCAAGACTCTACTGTAGTTGTTTTGCACACACAAAAGCCCATCATCATTTTCTGTGCAGAAACCTGCATTTTCTGCACACAGATTTTGAGGTATTCAATTCTGCATGGATAATGCTCTTTTCTGTGTATAAAATGCTGTGACTGGAGTTTTATTCTTCATAAGTTTCAATCATGATTGATCATCATTTGTTGTTGTATGTCTTTAATTCATTTCTGATTTTTGGCAGCCCTCAAGTGAACCCATCATGCTAAGAGAGTGTGACTTGCCAAGCAAATTGTCAGGGTTTAGGATTTTCTGTATTGAAATACTGTTTTGTGTGCAGAAAAAGCCGCCATAGTAATTGCGGTGGTGCACCACCTGTACTGCCTCATGAAGTAAGGGTTTATTTACTGTATTCTCATAAGAACGGCTGGTCCACAGCAGCAAGGAGAGACAAATTCTCTAACTTGAACCACTTTTCCAAAGCCTTAAATTGTATGAACTGCAAAACTACTTCGTCTCTTGTCTCTCCCATATGCTATTTAGTGACTGGAGATATTACACACCAATCCATTTGAACTACTCAATGTTAATCAATTAAAAAAGACTCAGAACATGCATACTCGTTGGGTCCCTTCATATGCATTCCATGGTTTTGCTGCCTGGGTTGAAATAGAAAGCCATGACTCTGAGAGAGAGGGGCAGACAAGACAATTTATTTTGCTATTAAAGAATATTGAGCAAATACTAAAAGGATGCCAGTTTTCTCTGTAAGAATTATCAGTAGAATGTCTTTAATAAAGGTGGCATTGCATCTTTGTAATAGTCGAATAAACCAAGAATAAGTTACGGTAATTGGATAATATGAAATTGTAAGCTGAACACAAAATGGCTCTTGTAATGAGAAGCTAGATAATTTGTTGATAATGTGTCAACAACTCCCTGTTAACCTATTTTCTGAAGGCACACCAGCAAGTTAAAGAAACATACCCAAGTCAGTTTAGTGACAAAGGGAATTCTTGAGCAACAGTCATAAATAAGCAACACATGACCCTTTGCTCCCGTTGGGCTTTTTCTCTTTGTTTCTTCTAATTATTCCAAAACCTTAATAGACTTGTGCACATCTGCCTTAAGGTTGTGCCACAAGAAATATTAGGAGTTTTACAATTCATCTCCAAAGATAAACAAATCAATATGAAGCACAGTTGCTCTCTTTCTTCAAGCAGTGTAGAGATTTAAGTGCCTTCTGGGATTTATTCTCCTTTTTAGTGAGATGGAGAAAATGATGTTTTGTGATATAATTTTACAAATTTATATCTGACAGCGCCAGCAGGTCAGGTTTCTCAGACCAAAACCCTCCAGCTCCAACAAGCCCCAAAGGGACTAATAGCAAGACACCTTTCTTCCATATACCTTTCTTCTTTAGCACAAAGCATGCTCTTCATCAAACACATAATAGCTGAGCTTGGAAAAATATTTTGTGGAGCTGCACTTTCTAGAATCATCCAGTAAGCAAGTTAAGTGAATATACTGACTAGTAGAGTATCAGACTTGTAGCTTTAAAAGCAACATTTTCAAGCTTAATTATAGTGGATTTGTGCCCCTTCTACACTGTTCCATAAATCCAGATTATTTGCTTTGAACTGGATTATGTGGCAGTGTAGACTAATATAATCCAGTACAAAGCAGATAATATGGATTTTCTATGGCAGTGTAGATTGGGCCTTGGCCGGTCTTGTTATTAATGCAACCAAATGTGGGGCTTCACGCCTTATTAAGGTAATTCAATCCAGGATCAAAAATCACCTAGGCCCCTTCTACACTGCCATATGAAATCCAGATTATCTACTTTGAATAGGATTATATGGCAGGATAGACTCATAATCCAGTTCAAAGCAGATAATGTGGATTATCTGCTTCGATGATCTGGATTATATGGCAGTGCTAAAGGGGCTCTAGTTGCATCACTCTGGCCCCTTCTATACTGCCATATAATCCAGATTATCAAGCATGGTTTGAGATTTGAGTGTTGGACTAAGATTCAGGTTCAAATCCTTGCTCGGCCATGGAAACTCAGGGCCCTTCCACACAGTCCTATATCCTTGAACATCAAGACAGAAAATCCCACATTATCTGAGTGTGGACTCAGATAATCCAGTTCAAAGCAGATATTGTGGAATCTTCAGCCTTGATATTCTGGGATATAGGGCTGTGTGTGGAAGGGCCTCTACTCAATTATCTTGGCCAAGTCACTATCTCTTGACCTCAGAGAATGGCAAATACAAATGCTCTCTGAACAAATCATGCCAAGAAAAACTTTCAATGGGTTCACCTTAGGGTTGTTGTTATTATTATTATTATTATTATTATTATTATTATTATTATTATTTATACCCTGCCTTATCTCCCCAAAGGCGACTCAAAGCAACTTAACATAAAAGCATAAGCATACAATTTAAAATATACAAATACACAAACATTAATGTAGAATTAAACACAAACAGCACTAAAATAATTCACATTTAAAATCCATCAAAACATATTCAAAGTTACTGTAAGTCGGAAATGACTTGAAGCCACACAACAACAACAACAACAACAACAACAACAACACTGTTCATAAAGACAAAACGTGTGCATGTGAATGTGAACAATATGTTAATTTTACAGAGAAATACACAACTAGGCTAACTGAAATCAACAGAACAGAAAATTATTAATAGCTATTATAAGATTGTCAACCTACACACGATGCATTTTGATTGTATCATATTCTCATGGTTTAAACTGGCAACAGTACTAACAGGCTTTTTACTTGTTGTTTCTGAATCTTCTTCTTCCAGGTTTGCTATACGTTGGCTTCAGCGCCTGCATGTTTGGTCTCTATAGCTTCATGCCTGTGGTCATTAAGAAAACCAGTGCTACGGCGGTCAACCTCTCCCTGCTTACAGCAGACTTGTACAGCCTTTTCTGTGGATTTTTTCTCTTCCACTATAAGGTAAGTAGAGCAGACTTTGTACCTGAATAATTGATTACTCTCTCACAAAGACATTGTTAATGCGGAAAAATCAATAGAGGGAAGACAATAACATCTCTGCCTTGCTTTCACTCCAGCATTTATATGCATAGCACTGTGGGGAAGTGCACTGGTCCATCATAGGCAGTAGTCATTCCTGGCCTCTTGTGTCCCTTTTGGAGCTGTGCACAAGGCTTTCTGGCTGTCAGTGTGAGTTGTGACCATGAGATGTAAGTTTCTTGGTGATAACCCCTCCATGACCTCAGAGCATCTAAACAAAGGAATGAGAATAAAAATTGGGCCTATGCCAAATAGTCAACAGTTTCAGTTTTCAAGTTTAAAATTATGGTTTTGATTATTATTTTATTATTATTTATTTATACCCCATTTTGTCTCTCCCGAAGGAGACTCAAATTAAAAATCACAGTTAAAATACATTAGAACATAATTCAAAGTTAAAAACCACAGTTATTCAAACAAAGGTGGTTGATGAAGTTGGTTTGTTGTTGTTGTTGTTGTTGTTGTTGTTTATATCCAACTTTATTCTCTTATGAGCCGACTCAGGAATATTTATTTATTTACTGTATTTATATCGCGCCGTTCTTGCCCATAAAGCCCTAAACAGTTTTGGCCCAGCTTACCTGTCTGAACGTACCTCTCCTTAAAGCCCTGCTCTCGATCCCGCCTTTTTCGCAGGTGTGTTTGGCAAGGACGAGAGACAGGGCCTTCTGAGTGGTGGCCCCTCAGCTGTGGAACACCCTTTCTAGGGATATTAGATTGGCTCCCCCTCCCTCCTAACGTTTCATAAAAAATGTTAAAACCTGACTTTTTGAGCAAGCATTTGCAAATGCAGTGTAACAGGCAAATATAAATATATGGAACGATTGGACAACATGAATTGGAAAATGATTTTAGTAATCATTTTAGTAAGGAGACACTGAGGATTTATGTTTTTATTGGTTTTGTATGGTTTTTATATTTGGTAAATGTTTTAAAATTGTATTTTATGTTGTTGGGGGCAACAAATTGTGCTGACTGTAAACCATCTTGAGTCGCCATCGGGCTGAGAAAGGCGGTATATAAATATGGTAAATAAATAAAATAAATTCTCACCTTAAAAACAGCCTGGTACAAATATTAAAATCACAGGATCCAAAAATTGTACACCATCACCATTCCAAATTGTGGTTTCACATATTTCCTAATTATTATTTGCACTGCATTATTTTACTGGCCAAAAGTTTGGTCCCACAACCACGGCATTTATATTAACAAACATTTAATAAACTAACATATATTTATCTTTGTAGTGTGAAATGAATACATGTAATTTGTTTTCTTTCTCCTTCCTGAATTTATCATTTTTTGAGTTTCATTGAGTACAAATATTCCATTTTAAACATTATGGGGTATACTACTGTATATATAACAGAGCATTTTAATTCCATGAAAGACCAAAAATTAGCCAAAATCAAAATGACAAATGATTTGATGTCACTTCTGGTTGTGTCAGGTACATCATTATGGCCTACCAGCAGGTCACAGGGATAAAAAGTTGGCCCTCAGCCCATCCACAGTTGCCCACTTCTGCTCTAACCAATCATAAATACCAATTCCATAAATTTAACCAATCATGAACCCACAGAAGGTCATACCCAAGTCCCTCCTTCTCCCTTCAGTCCCACTCTTAGGTCCCTTACCAGGGAAAGAAATCCCAATTGCAATGTCCCATCAATGATGGGAAATGTCAGCAGATATTCCCTACATTGCCCTACAAGGGGCAACTAAAGTTGCACACTAAGCAACCAGTCAGGACAACACTGGATCCAAGAAGCAATGGCTGAGTACATTTCACTTTACTATCTCATCTGGCTTGAGCTATTCAAACAAATGTTACAACTCTCTGGAGTATCATTTTGTCCCATTTTTTAAAAAATCCAAAAAAAATTACCGCAAAATTTCCAGTCATTTTGGTTTAGCCTCTAATGATTTTAAAAAGCCCCAAAAGACAAAATAGCCTTTAATCATTCATTGCACTCTGTCTGGAGGAGACACTCTTTAAAATTTTAATACTCCCTTTCTCTGATTAAAGAGCTGAAGTAACCAACTTCATTAAATATAGTACATATATTCCAGTGAAGAAGTAAACAACACAAATAAAAATTGCTGTCCAAAACTGGAGTAATATGTTCAAGATATATATTATGTATACTTAGAACATAAAAGCTTTTATGTGCCTACAAAAATGATGGTTACAAGAAATGAAAGGCCTGGGTGGGGAAAAGACTTCTATAGTGCCATCGCTATTGTTCAGTGATCACCTATTGTTATCGTTTTCTTGATATAGTGTTGCACACAATTGAGTTGTAATGTTTCGTAAATGCCAACATTAATGTACCAATGATTACTTTATAGCAATTAAGTTATTCCAAGCTAGAGAAGAATGTAAAGCTTTGCAAAGCTCACTACCTCTCTGAGCCAAGAAAGTCAAATCCCTTGAATTTGTTATCCAGACCCAAATCCATTGACCTTGTTGATACTTTTTAGTCAAATGCTCTTAAAGCCCACCTTAAAAGCCAGGTGACTGTTCCAGGTGAAAGAGTCCTCTGGTGCTGATGGAGGTTGAATGGGTCTTCAGGATGATACACACAGCCCTTTCCATGATCAGTGAAGTGTGATGAAGGGTTGCAATAGCTCACTGATGGGAGTTGGCTGGACCTGTCATCCTCCAGCATCCTATTCACCAGTAACACAGAACGCTTTCACATGGAACAGCTGCTTGGCTTTTAAGGGTCAAATTGGGAGACAAAGGATAACTAGGATATCATAGTTATGTATCCCATTCAGGATCACAGCCATGATAGCTAGCTAACCAGAGTTAGTTTTGTCACCTTCAGTTTTGACAAAATCCTGAATCTACAAGATCTTGAGAAGCAGTAGATTTTTTTTGTGTCAGAAGTGACTTGAGAAACTGAAAGTCACTTCTGGTGTGAGAGAATTGGCCATCTGCAAGGATGTTGCCCAGGGGGTGCCCAGATGTTTTGATGCTTTACCATCCTTGTGGGAGGCTTCTCTCATGTCCCCACATGGGGAGTCGGAGCTGATAGAGGGAACTCATCTGCGCTATCCTCAGATCAGTTCTGAAATCGACTGAAGGCCAACCTATCGGCCTCCAGTCCTGCTGGCACAAGGGTTTAACCCACTGAACCACTGAAAGCTTCATAAGCAGCAGATAAAACTACTCCTCTATCACACTTGCATTTGTCTGGAAGGGTGGGGAAGCTGCCTCAACAGTTGTGCTCTGCATGTTGTTCTTATTATTGTTTTATTCATTTATGTTGCTCCTTTTGCACAATATTGGACCTCACATTCATTTACAAAAAAAATAAAACCAATATAAGGTAAAAGTAAAAGTTTTCCTTTGACATTAAGTCTAGTCGTGTCTGGCTCTGGGGGGTGGTGCTCATTTCCATTTCTAAGCCAAAGAGCTGCTGTTCGTAGACGTGTCCAAGGTCTTGTGGCAGGCATGATATATTTAAATTATTTTCCAAAGCATTGCAAAAATTCCAGATTGAAGATATAGTGCTTAACTGTGTGTGTCAAAAAAGCCATGATTTTACAACTCGGTTTCCAGATACTGTGGAATTTATTTATTTATCCTATCAGATGCAAATTGAGGGTACAGTTATAATGTATTTAAAACACAAACAAAGTCAAAAACTTGGCATTATACTAAATGTCCTTTGACCTGGTCCTTTGGCCACTTGGAGTGCCTCTGGTGTTGCTACAAGAAGGTCCTCAATTGTGCATGTGGCAAGGCTCAGACTGCATTGTAGTAAGCGGGCTGTAGTTTGCTCTTCTCCACACTCGCATGTCATGGACTCTACTTTGTAGCCCCATTTCTGAAGATTGTCTCTGCACCTCGTGGTGCCAGAGTGCAGTCTGTTCAGCACCTTCCAAATCAGCATGGTTAAGTATTAGTAACCATGATTAAACATTCCTAGGCTGATGCTACTAATCAATACTTGACAGTTAATGTGTTGTCAAAGGTTTTCATGGCCGGAATCACTGGGTTGCTGTAAGTTTTTCAGGCTGTATGGCCATGTTCCAGAAGCATTCTCTCCTGACATTTCACCTGCATCTATAACAGGCATCCTCAGAGATTGTGAGGTCTGTTGGAAACTAGGAAAATGGGGTTTATATATAAGTGAAATGTCCAAAGTGAGAGAAAGAACTCTTGTCTGTTGGAGGTAGGTGTGAATGTTTCTATTGGCCACCTTGATTAGCATTTAATGGCCTAACAGTTTTCAAAGTCTGGCTTCTTACTGCCTGGGGGCATCCTTTGTTGAGAGGTGATTAGCTATCCCTGATTGTTTCTTGTCTGGTGCTCCCCTGTCTTTATTTAGTGTTATGATTTTAGAGTTTTTTTAAATACTGGTATCCAGACTTTGTTCATTTTCATGGTTTCTTCCTTTCTGTTTAGATTGTCCACATGCTTGTGGATTTTCAATGGCTTCTCTGTGTGGCCTGACATGGTGGTTGTGAGAGTGGTCCAGCACTTCTGTGTTCTCAAATAATATGCTGTGTCCAGGTTGGTTCATCAGGTTCTCTGCTATGACTGACTTCTCTAGTTAAAGTAGTCTGCAGTGCCTTTCATGTTCCTTGATTAATGTTTGGGCGCTGCATTTGGTGGTCCCTATGTAGATTTGAAGGTTATTGTTTTTATTATTGATTACAGATCCATTTTGAAGTTACAAAAAGTACATTTACTGGATAGTCTATAATCTTTTCTGATTTGAATTCAGCTTCCTTCTAACTGAGTTTGTAATTCTGTATATTCAGTCCTGTCATTTGTTTTGGTACCCCTGGCTTTATTTTGACATGAGGAAGGCAACCTTTTAAAGTGTCTCCAATCCCTTTAAGCAGAGAACATTACCCTTAAATACCGTCTATTCATTATCCTGCTAAGGTCTGTTTACTCG